TTTTTCAACAAAGCTCATGAAAAGACCCAACAGGGTTTGTCTGTTTCTCAGTACTTTCTGACTTCACTATTCTGTCTGTGGCACTCTTTTTTTTTTTAAGTCACAAATATATAGAGAATTCTCATAACTTTAAGCGAAGGTTACCCAAACAGGAGGAAGTAGGGCATTTGCTGGGTACTATTATCTGTTTTTCATCAAGTCAAGATTTTTAACTCTTTTGTTAACATGTTTTTCCAAAAAGTTATTGATGTGTCCTCTCATGAAGTTTAGGTTTCATTGTGCAATTAATATGAATGAACAGAATAGTCAATAATCTGAAATCTTAGGGGAAAAAATGAAATTTTAATTCTGTAAAAACAATAACAATACAATAAATTAACATATACTACTCTGGAAAAAAATAGCAATGGCTCATCCATGAGATCTACTCATCCTTTGTAATGCTGATCACTTTGTTTTCTTACTTGCATAAGGGATCCAAAACTGGTGCAGACTGACCAGCACAAGATGAAGCCATGTCAGGTGGCACAACACTTTCAACATTCTCAGCTTTATTGCTATCTAGTTATCTAGTCATTATTGCAAAAAAAAAGAAATGTCTGGTGGCCATTCATCATCACTGTTATTGTCAGCATTCTCGCTTAACTCACATTCTGTAGGCCTGTCGATCATAAGCTGCCCTCAAGCTCTAAAATAGTTGCACAAAATAGTGCTTTTGTAACGCACAACAATAGTAATAACAGTAACCAGCTGTATTATAGAAAGGTTTTTTTCAAAATTGAATATTGCATGATATGTATATAACTGATCATACATTGTGTCCAGTTTAGTGGATGCATAATTAATTGTAATTTAGTTAGATGCTAACATAAGGGAAACGTGTAGTCTTGGTTTGCATGATATTCCTGCTGGAACATGTCTAGTTGTGTTTAGAAGCTTGTTTTGGTGATTTATAATGGAATAAAGTTTCACTATTCTCCATTACATTAATTTCCCAGCTGCAGTCAAAGTGCAGAGAGGCAGAGATATGGAAGACTCAGAAACATTGACCAATCAAAGCAGACTGTACTACAAAGACATAAAAACCTAAAATATAAGTATGAGCCTGAAAATGAGCAGAATAGGTCTTCTTCTGTAGGTGGACTGGACAGATCAGACACCGAGAACTTCAGTAATATCTGTTGACACGCAGCAAATGGCTGCAAGCAGGAGTCGAACCTGCGACCGCTGCAGCAAGGCGTCACCTCTGTACATGGGGCGCTGGCACTATCCACTATCGACTCCCCGGTTGTCATGGTTTTTAATTGCACTTACAATTACTTGACATTAGGTTCCTCCCTATAGTGTTGTAAATTAGTGTCCACTGTAGTGGCTGTTCAGCCTGACATTGCAAGAGTAAACCGCCGTAGCAAATAAAACATGAGCTGGCAGATTTGTCTAGTTCCCAGGCTAGCTGCTGTTATGAAGATTAAACGTAACTCATGCATATGCATGAAAATGGCTCTTGAGTAGTTGTCAACTAGTGATTATTCACACATTTGGTGCTTTGGTGAGTATTTGTGGCAGCAGGACTGTGAATGTGGGATTCAGTCAAAGGAAACTACAGTGTGTGTGTTCATGGTGATGTCGGAACGTGTCATCCAGTGCAACAGTGTAGCTCACTGATGTATTTTTAATAGTTTTTGGACAACAGTGGCGCTCTGTGGCACAGAAGAATAAGACAATTCCTCTGTCTCTCTTTGGCTCTAACTGTTTTCACAGGACTGTGTGTAGTTTGGAATACTGTGAGGGCTATAAGCTCCAGATCGTTTCACTTCTTATTGGTTGCTTGTAATTTTAGGATTTAGAAATTTAAGCTTATTCCACTGCATTGCTCTGAATTAGACTGACAGCTAAATCCCCAACATGTAATATTGGCTAAATGTACTAAACGCTCACTGCAGTTTGAAGGATTTTGATTAATAACAGACCCAGCTCCAAACTGGAAGGAAGACTGATATTAACTGTGGCTTCTGCTTGTTCCTCAGCTCCACGATGACCCAGGAGCTGAGCCACCCTGCTACCGTGTAATCGGAGGCATAACCAGCACCTATTTAAAGCTTGCGCTGCACTGTAATCACAATCAGTCCTCCTCTGTTCACATGTCAGCTCCCATTCCCCTCAAATCCGCCCCCTTATTAGAGACTGAGAGAGTGGGCTGTGATTTCACTGTTTACTGCCAAACAGCCTGCAATGCAACAGAGAGCAGAGGAGACACAACACTGATAAATAGTCTGTGAGGGATTATGTATGTGTATGTTTGTCTCCACCCTTCCCTACCTAAACCACAGAAATGTAATCACACAAGAGTAAAATACTCTGTGTAGTCTCTTCTGTGTAGCGTAGACCAGGGATGCATCTATCTGATACAACATGCCTCCATCAGCGCAGATACTGACCCTATTAAGCTGGTTATCAACACTGATATGACAAATCCATATAACATACAGTTTCCTTAAAGGCATACAATGCAAGATTTTCAGCTATTATTTGTAACCACGCTCACCAGGAAGGTGAAAGTAAGAACCAACCCCAGATTCACTCGTCTGGTGTTTTCACTTCACTGTCAATGCGTTTTTTTAGACGCAGGGTCTCTTGGATGCCTGCTGCTTACGATCTGGCACCTGGTCGATACCTTTTTCATAAAGCCCTGACTTCACCTGAACACTGTAGGGGTACACAGCCATAAATGTCCAGCCCACAGAAAATAAGAAAGTCCAGGCAGAGGGCAGAGTCTCTGTAGAAAAATACACCGCCACACACTTCTAGTGGGTCATAAGTGATGATTGAGAGTGATTACTTCTGTATGAGTCTATACATTGTTTTTAGGGAAAATATTACATAGTATACCTTCAACAACAACAAAAAAATTGTGCCTCATCTATCAGTTATATTGATTAAGTCATGTTGAGCAGCGGGCTCAGTTTTTCTCACCTTAGTGATCCCTAAAGTCATGTTTTCTTACATAAAAATGATCCCAGTGAGATTCACACAGAGTGGTGTTCAGTTTTTTTAAATTTAAGGGAAAATGGAACACAGATCTCAGTATTCTGTATCAGCAGCTATTTGTTATTGGTGGAAAATGTTCGATCAGTGCATCCTCAGTCGGGACCTGATCCAGCTGTAGTTTGCATCAAAGCTGTGTAAAAAGAGCAGACAGACACAAGTGATGTAGGAGATCCATTTCCATGCTGTGTAGACCATGGATGTATAAAGAGAATTGGATACAGTGGTGGAGGCAGGGACCTGTTCCTTCCTATGGAACTTGCTTAGTAGTGCATGGAGCCAAAAAAAAAAAACGACTCCTGGGGTATAATATTACCCAGATCTCCTGCATTTAGACACACTAGAGACATCATCAGCCTAGAAGCTAACGTCCAGTTTGCCACTCCACTATCTTGAATAGGGATAAAATTCTTTATTCCTGCAACTCTTCTAGACTTTCAAATATGAAATCAGTCATTTTGCTGGGGTTGTGACGAAAAATATATACATATATAAAATTATCCACTGATTTACAGACATCTCTTTCACATTGTAAGTCTTTCTGGGCCCGATAGCATCACTTGACGGACTTGCAACTTGCAACTGGGAAGTCTCTTGAGATGCATTACCTCCTCTACAAGACAGACCTAGCCAAAATGGCAGCATAGCGTTTACCACACAGTCACATAAAAACCACACTGTCAATTTATAACTTTCACATATCGTTCACTAAGAGAGGACCTTAGAGGCATGACTGTTTATAGCAGTGCAGATCATTGTCTACTGAGAGTCTTATACTCACAAACTAAACCAGTCTGCTTCATCAGACTGTGTGGGTGTGGTAGATGAGATTTGGCAACATGCGCAAACAACCCCACAACTGTCACATTTTGATTCAAACATTGCCTGATCCTGATTGGTGCATGAAAGTATGTGACATCGCCTCTTTTCAGCTGAGTCCCACCCTTTAAACTAGTAAAAAGAGCACAGACCAAAAAAAGTGCATGAAATACTGTTTGTGAAATAACCACAACTGCTCAAACATTGGCAGATAATAGTGTCTTCATTTAGGACTCCCATTGTTGAGTAAGAAGTTGACTGAGAAAGAGGTTATTAAGGCCTATAAGAGGTAGACAAGAAGTTTACAAAAAATGTCTTTTAAAATGAAACGGTCCATGTGAATCTTCCTCTTTATTTTCATTGAGGTTCACGAAGTTAATAAACATTAAAGCAAGGAGTTTGAGATCCAACATTAATAAAAGACGAATAATCCCAAAATCTCATCTGGAGTTAGATACAGTCAGGCAGCCGTGGACATTCATAGGTGTAACATTCCTAGAGGCAACAGTTGGTGCTACTGTACAATACCTTCAGTTTAGAAAATAAAAGGTGTAGAGGCCCATGTATTGATAATTAATTATATGATGTGTCCCCTTATAGGCGATCTATAAGATGGTGTCCTCTGTGATGAAGATGCCTGAGGACGAGTCGACACCTGAGAAGAGGACAGAGAAGATCTTCAGGCAGATGGACACCAACAGAGACGGTAGGCTAACCTCACCTGCTGCAGTTTTAAGTGTGGAGTAGTTTCACTAGTAGCAGGGTAGTAGTAGTACTACAGTAGTAGTAGGGGGTCAGTTTTGCTTAAACAGAAGGTCGATGGTAAAGACAAATAAACTGATTTCTAAACACTTCACTGGTCATTTTGGGTTAAGAAAATGGCCATCAGGTATTTGCTCACACTTATGATTCTAGCTTGTGACCTGCCCTCAGATACAAAGCCTTTCTTTTGCCTCTCTAAGATGCCAAATAATTATTTAAAAAGCACCTGAATTGGTTTATTGATGGGTTTATTTATTGGTTTCAGTGAAATGGGACACACCAAGCATTTAAATTGCAAATGTTTTGAACAGCTTGTCACTGCCACCTGGTTAGCTGGCCAGCAGCTGTTGTCACTGTACACAGCGGCCTAGTCCCTTTATCGCAGAGGCACTTGTAGAGCCCTCCAGGATGAAGCAGCAATTCATTGACAACACAACTCACACATGACCTGTGATTTTAGTCATACACAATTGTGCTGTAGATACTCAGAGAGAGCATTCATGCAGCACAGACAGTCCAGCGGTTATCCTGAGCACAGGAGCCACAGAAACAAGATGGGAAGAACAGAGATGGACGATGAGGAATTAGTGAGCAGTGTGGGAAGAAAGAGAAGACATAGCAAAAGAGGAGTGGGTTGAAAGAGAGAAGAGGAGGGAAGGGGAACTGGGAGAAAAGTGACAGCCGAACAAAGACAGCAACATAAAGTGAGAGGGAGGGCGCTGACCTGGACATGGAAATGTGCTGTCTTTCTTTTGCATCTTCTGATGAGAATCACGAGTAGTGAGCAAGTCTTAGAGAGGCATCTTCAGACTGTGGAGTGGGTGAACAGGGGACAGAAGAGCTGTCTCAACACCACCACCTGTTGGTAAGAAAGGGAACATCACTAGGATGCACCGATTCAGGTTGTGGAGGCTCGAAGGTGACAGTTACAAAGAATCATACGTAATTCGCCTTCAGGTGTGTTTTTTTTTTGTTGTAATTGCACCAAAACTCTATGAAAAACCCTTAACTGGGTTGAACTTAATGAAATATCCCAGCCATCTCCCACCCACACTGACTGCTCAGGTGAACGGGTGCAAGATTATTTAAGGCTTTCACCAGTGATTCACCAGTGAATTGCACTCACATGGACAGGTCCTTATCAGCCTGTGCAGCACAGAGTGTACATTACATGTTGCAGCAGAACGGGTAACTCAGCCAATTAGATCCAACAGGAACACATTTAGTGAAGAGCTAAAACACACCATACTGCTGTCAGTGTCACTAAATACTGACTGCACTGTTTCTCAGTCACCTCCATAGGGTGTTAAAGTGAGGGGTCATTTTGTGCACTATAGAGCAGTATACAGTGTGTTGCTATATATCATCACTAAATATTTCCTTCACATTATAATACAGTAGTGGTTCATTTTTATTTTAAAGGGAACCTTAAATGTGTTTTTGTTTTCATGTTGTTCTTAACTAATGGAGACAACAATTTATGTGATCAGTCAAGTATTGAGGACATCACTGCAGCTGCCAAACAGGCTGCAATGTAATGTTAAAGGGATAGTGCACCCAAAAATGAAAATTCAGCCATTATCTACTCACCTATATGCCAGTGGAGGCCCTGGTGAAGTTTTAGAGTCCTCACATCCCTTGCGGAGATCGACGGAGGCAGCGGGCAGCACACCTAATGGCAGACGGCGCCCCAGACTAACGTCCAAGAGCACAAAATTGAATCCACAAAGTACCTCCATACTGTTCATCCGTAGTGATCCAAGTGTGCTGCAGCCGCGACATAAAAAGTTGTTTTGAAAAATGTCATATGAACTCTGTTTTTAGCCTCACTGTAGCCTGTAGCTCTGACTGCTTCTCTGTGCTCCGCGCTCACGTGTGAGCGCTCAGGGTGATTGGTGATCTCTGAAGAGCAGCAGTCTCGTCAGTACTGATGTCCAGATTCTCAAGTGCAGGCATCGCCAATTCCCAGTCTGAGCAGCAAAGACTTTCCTCATCCGTTGGCATTGCTTTGCATTTGAAACAACTACACCACCAGGTTTCCAGTGCTCCACTCCGGTATTCTGCGGCTGGCTGAGGCTCATGAGCTGCGGTGGCTGCTTCGTCCAGTAGCCTGAGTTCTGTGCGTATACTCGGGCTCAAACAAATACAGCTCAACAAAGAAATGCTGTTCCTCCTCAATTTCAAAGTCTTCAGACATGTTGGGCTGTCCTTTGCTAAAAGACCGTAGTGCAAATGATCTTTTAGCTCTGTGGTTACTGTTGTGTCCCCCTGCGGTGCACGTGTCACGTGATGTAAACACAGATGAGCAAAGTTCATGCTTTCGCTGGTCTCGCGCAGGCGCGCACACGTGAACGCGGAGCACAGAGAAGCAGTCAGAGCTACAGGCTACAGTGAGGCTAAAAACAGAGTTCATATGACGTTTTTCGAAACAACTTTTTATGTTGCGGCTGCAGCACACTTGGATCACTACGGATGAGCATATTGGAGATACTATGTGGATTCAATTTTGTGTTAGATAATGGCATAATTTTCATTTTTGGGTGCACAATCCCTTTAATGGGCACTTGCGCACCTTTAATTTATGACCACTAAAAATGTGTGTTTTTGCCACAGACAGGCTCAGGTTGTCATTAGAAGTGTCTAACACTAAGGACCTTACAGAGAAATTAAACGTTTTTCTTTATCTTGCTCAAAGTCTTGTTCTGAAATCTCGGGAGAGGTGACTTGCTGCAGGAAAACAGCAATGGAAACGTTACAAAGAGTTGGAGAGAGGAGTGCCAGGAAGAGTTTGTCGTGTTGGAGTACAGAATATGTAGCTTTGCGTTATCTTAAGGATTTTCAGTGTCATGGCTGAATGTTAAGCTGATTTTGACAATGTATGAAAGTCTGCTTGATTTTAGAACAAGACTTTTCCTTGGGGAAGATTTGGTTACACACATACTAACAAACAGACCAGACCAGCGATAGGTAAACAAAAGCATTTCATTTCTTATTGGGGTCTTTTCTGTAATGTCATCAGACACTCCTAGTAACAGTCTGAGTCTGTCAGTAGCGAAAAGAAGCACTATTAATGGACGTACATTCATGGTGTGCAATTGCCTGGACCAGTTTCAAAAATTGTTGTCTTCATTAATCACTTCAACACAAAAACATTGGAACATAGAGTCCAGGTTAAGAAATACTGAAGAATCACTTTTAGCACAATAGATAATTAAAAAATTTGTTTTGTGGAGCTCTAAATGTGATCATACCTGTCTTTGCTTTAAGCCTTGCTACTGTCCCTCGCTTGTGTGCTATGCATTGAAATTTGAATTACAAAAACATAATTTCTAACAGTGTGCTGGTGTTCTTCATGTTTTAGGTAAGCTGTCCCTGGAGGAGTTCATCAAAGGAGCGAAGAGTGACCCCTCCATCGTCCGTCTGTTGCAATGCGACCCCAGCAGCGCCGGACAGTTCTAAAGCTGAGGCATCAACACAACCTGTAAGGCTCACATTCAGCATCTTCACCTGCAGCGCAGCTCGTAGTGAAGGCGTCAGTTCGCTAAACTTTCTGAACGTTTTAGCAAGTTCAGTGAGGTGAGAGTTAGTGAAAGTGCGCTGGTGTTGCTGCAGCCAGTTTCAGAAAGTGCCATTAGTATGAAGGCTGAGGTTCAGCCTCAGGAACAAAGGTGGTTCTCCTACGATCAGTTGTGCCTCCCAGGCAGTGAGCATGCCTGCTGGAGGGAAGATATTCAGAGGCTGTGTGCGCCGTGCAGGACGTGGGATGGGTCATGCACGATGTCACAGGCTGTGTGACTATTTGTAGTTCGTGGATGGATATTAGAGACTTTGTAGGAGGTGGCCTGTTATTTTTTAGCGGTTGTTGAAGGTGCTGATGCTCTGAAGATGCTTCTTATTTTAAAGCCCCCGTGTGTGGGATTTACCAATTTTTGAAGCACTTTTGTAAAGAACCTTAGTTTTCTCTCAAAATTTAAACTCTTTTCTAAAGATTTAACTCTTGAATTTGTGTTGCCGCTCCATGGGGGTTGATGACACTTTTACAGGGTTACAGTCTTCTGATGTCAACACATATTCATTTGTGACTAAACTCTAGGATACAGCAGCTCTTGATGAATTTGGGAAGTGTAAGTCAGAAAGGCCGGAGTGTGTCGTCTGCCGTGTGTTGTCAGAAGTTAATGATTCATAAAGTGATTTTGTAGTTAAGATGGAAATATAAAAAGAAACAGAAAAGCAAACAGTCATCTGGCAGATGTCTGTAGTCTCTCTGAATATAACAGGAACATCACCTCTTCCTGCACTGTGGACATATTTTGGAGGATTCATCAGTAAAGGTTTTTCTTGTTTTAACTGGACTTTTAATGAGGATACATAATAGGCAATGCAGTAACAATCCTGATTCATATTCGATCTGCATGGGCTAGTTTGACAGCGTGATCTGAGTTTCGTTAACCTGGTGGTTTGCACTGGACAGAGCAGAGAGCACTCTGTCAATCATCGAATCAAAATCGCCCCGTATTAGACAGTCTGGCCAGGGGAAATCCTGTTGTAAACGGCAGGGGGACCAGACGCTTCTGCCAGAGCAAATAAAACATTAGCTCACAGATTCATCTGATTTTCAGGCTAATACGTTTTCTCGCTGTCACAGAGTTTCCCACACCGTTTATCCCATGGTGTCTCCTTTTAATGTCTCTGGTTGTGTTACTAGGCCTATGGCCAGTGTAGCAAATGAATTAAAGAACTGTTTATGGTAATGTTGGGTTTTTATATGCATCAGTGTTAAGATGTACCTTTATTTGTCAGTGATATAATTCACTGGAGTAGCCAAAACCAGACATATATCTTTTGTCACTGACATTGTGTAGTTTTTGTTAGTAAAACAAAAGTATTATTGTATCATAAAGCAAACCATGTGCTAACGGTGACCTGTTTCCTGACTGTTTGCCTTCATCTGTCTCGTCCCAGTGCTTCTTTGGGTGACTCCAAATGCCCTTAACTCTCCACTATGGAGCAGACTGACGATGAAGAATGACAAGTTGATGACGATGAAGAAGATAGGCCTTCAACATGCACTGAGGACATCATAAATGGGCACAGGAGCCAAATTCTCCAGTTCTCCACCCTGAGCTGTTTATATAAACCCTCCAAACTCCAACAAAGACTGAACCTGAAGACTTTCCCAAACCCTCATCAGGTTATCACCAAACCCCACTGATTGTAGTTGACCAGGATCCCTCAGTTCTCCTATAGGCACGTCAGAGTATAAAGAAGGCCTGCAGTAGGTTGTATATATACAGTATAAACTGGAGTCTCTGTATCAGTGTCTTTGCTTGGCCCTCTGTGCCCCTCGAGGCTCCAGCTGGGGCGACACCGAGCCTCCGTCACTCTAACGTGTATCATAGACAGAGTGTGTGCATGAGACAACGAGAGAGAGAGCGACATAATGGTGTTGAATAACAGGACATACTGTAGGTGAGATTATTTAATCTGCAGAGAGGACTTGTGAAGTTTGTCCTTCACTGAGATCGAGTACCGCTTTTAGTTTCCTCTTTTTCTACTGTGAGAATGTGTACGTGTGTTTGTGTATTTTGCAAACTTGATAGACTTTGTTTCATAATTTGTGCTCGGACAAAAAATTACATGAACATGTAATATTATGCTACTATGCATACGTGCCCTAATCAGTAGTTTGATTTTGTGAAGTCTCACTGATGTAATGAAGAATGAAACGCATCCCTTTATCCATCATCTGTTCCAGTGCTTTTTCATATCAGTAAGAATTTGACACAGAGGGTTTTGGAGTGGCAGTGTGTTACTGCACTCTAGTTAAAGGAAGATAGAAAACTAGTCTTTAAAGTATCTGAGTACAGTGTAGATATATTACAGTGCACCGAAATTTGTAAAGAAAATTCAGATTGCTCAGTTCATAACAAATGTTGTGAAATAATTAAAAAATAAACAACTGTTTTGTTTGTTAAAGCTATTGCGGGATGTGGAGCATGCAAACCAGTTTCTTTTTTTGACATTTACTAGGTGGAGAACAGAAACGCACTTCTTCATCTTCACTTTTAGATGTTTTTAAATGCCGCATGTTGGGTGCAGGGGTGCATAGGCTAAATAACACATATGCATGTGACTTAGCGCATGTGTGTGTTTTTTGTATGTTTATGGATATCAGTGGCTAAACGGCCAGTCGCCCATCCAGCTCTGAGCTAGCTTCTGTACGTTAGTATTGTCATCGTTAGTGCTACCAATAGTCAGTGTTGTTGACAGCGTATGGACTGCCAAAGCTGACACATGTAATGGTTCACCTGAAGACCAACACGCACAACAATCACATAAAGACTCACTTTTTAATGGGGATGCTGTGTAGTCAGAGCCGAAAGCTTTTTTTCTGTTTCAGTTGAGTTCAATAATCAAATCACCATCCAAGTGTATCTGTAACGGGGCCAAACACACACAGAGAGGACTGAATTCTTTTACCAACAGTCCTCTATAGTACGCTTTCAATTAAATAGCATGAACACAATTTACAGTGTTATGTAAAATAAATGACATGCTATTGGTCACACATAAGTCTGCTGTCCCACTAACAAGAGTACTCCCATTTATTTCAAACTGAAGGATTCAGTAGACACTTTGTTTGTCACTTCCTCTCCCTCGTTCTTGCCCTCGCTTAGCTGTCAAAGAAAAGAGAAAAAGCTCTGCCTCAGGTTATTAAAGGGGAACCACCACAGTATTTAAGAATTCTCAATATGTTATTTTCTTGGCCTAGGAAAGTTCAATCACTATTTGTGAGCATGAGCTTCTCTCTCTCTCAGAGCCAGAAACCAGCAAAGTAAGCCTCACACTTGATGTCATACAGAATAAAGTCTGGAGCTGCTCCATAGACAGTGAATGGGAGCCTGATTTTGTGGACTGGGTTTTTTTTAATACCCAATTGAGCTTTATAGATGAAATCACAATGTTTATATTTACTTCCACAAAGAAAATCCTCACATCAAATACAAAAAATGAAACAAAGCAGAACAAATGCTGCCATTAGTAGTTCGTTTTTAACCACCTAAAAGAATCTGTATCAGTTTCAGTTTTTATTATATTTCGAATATTTTCCTGCCTTTTCTGACAAGGAACTGAAGCTGTTATCTAAATGCCACTCATTTTAATTCAAGGAACAGGGGAGTAACTGATCTACCGCTGCTATAATCAGCTTGTGCATGGGACTTTATAACATGGCTAAAAAAATGTTTTGCGGCGGCCCCCATTCACAGCAGTACATTGCTTTGCTTCGCTTCTGTGCCGGTACATTCGGTTTATCAAAGATGCTAGCAAAGCAACACAGTACACAAAATAAGCAACAGAAATGTCAGATATTGGACCACCCTGTTTAACTATAACTCATTGAATATTACAGTTATGACTGAACATGACAGCAGAAATAAACAAGTTTGCCGATTCGCTACCCGGAAGTGATTGTTGTTGTTAGCGTGACATCAGAGTGATTCAGCTTTTGCTATTGTAGAGTTCTCAGTTCTGAAACAGAACATGTACCTATATACTCAGAACATTCCCCTGGGTGCTCTCTGTCGTCTAGAACATCTTTCCCAATTCATTGTCACTGTAGCAGCTCCAAACCTTACACGTTATGACATCACAAATTTGATTTTTAGCATTCTAGTTTTTAGATTTGGGAAAGAGAGTAGTTTATGTTCACTAATATTTTTGGACTGTCTTAGACCGTAGGAATATCTTGTATGAATTTTGAAAATGGACATAGTGCCCCTTTAAGCCAGTTCAGCCAGGACCAGTGTGACCCTCCCCTGAATGTACCTGAGCCCTCCGCAGGGCAGAGAGACCGTTTCAGTTATTGTATTATTCTCCAATTAGAAAAGCTTTGAATGTTTTACTAAATAACTGCTGTTTTATTGTAAAGAAGAAAAAAAAAAAAGATGCAGACAAACAAACCGCGAATCACAACTGCTGCAACGATACTGTCACCATGTGTTGCTTTTATTGTATTTTTATGATTTTTTTTTTCTTCTTTTTTAAAAAAAAGCTACGTCAGGTGTAACATTTCTGTTAAAACACAAAATAGCATCTTATGGTCAAGTGCCAAATAAAAACAAAACAGTATTGTATAAATTTATACTGTACAATTGTTATCTGTTGAACAAACTGTTTGTAATTGTTGCATTTTGTAGGTTTTGTATGGTATCCTGTATTTAGTGACTGCAGTTTTGGAAACACAGGATTCTGTTTTTTGGTCAACTTTAAAAGGCAAGAATTAAATTTACAATTTATTGTGTGCAAGCATTATTGTGGTGTCTACTTAATCGTAATGTTGTGGTTTTAGTGATGTCATGACTGATAAAGTTCAGCCTATATTAGCTTAATGCAAATATATTGTATCCTGTATGTGTTGGCCCGTAGGTAACAAGAAACATCAGTGCAGAAATGTTAGTGGTAGTTTGTGTTTACATAATTTGTTATGAGAGAAAGCACCGACTAAGTTTATTTTTCAATTATAAAATCCCACTCAGTGTCTGTGTAGGTCAGAATTCTCCACAAGATAAATTAAAGGAATCCTTTGTATGAAGAGAAGCATGTCTGAAAAAAAAGAACAAATCAGTATCAAAATCAATATCTTATTTTTCTAACTTTTTGATATCAATGTGGTATTGGTCTCAAAGATCCAGTATCGCTGAGGTTCTAGTTTTAGTAATGCTAAAACCTAGACCATGGGTCGGCAACCTTCACCACAGAAAGAGCCCAAAAATAATTTTAAAAATCTATCTGGAGCCACAAAACATATTTAGCCTTATAATGAAGCTAATTCAGACTGTTAAATCTAAATTAGCCTGTCAACATTAAAAATGGGTCTAAATGAGCATTCATTACCACCAGGTGGCACTGCAGTGGGCTATTTCTGATGATAAGGAACTTGAACTTTGTAGAGTTGGTGGTAAAAGCAAACAGTGCTCGCCAAGCCTGGGAGACTCAAGACGACTGTAGCTACAGCTATTGAGATTTGGCAAAATGTAGAGGAAAAGGCGCCAGGCTGAAGACGATTGATGCGTATTTTGGTTGCAGAATTTTAAATTTGGTGTATAGGTTACACATTTTATACAATTGAAGAATGTCAGAATCACTTTAGGCCTACAGGATTGATAAATGAAAATTAAAATGTTAAAAACATAACTGTTATTGATCGTCAAAGCTGAGGGGAGCCACTGGAGAGGGGCACATATGGCTCCTGAGCTGCATTTTTATGTTGCCTACCCCTGATCTGGACCCTAATTCCAAAAATGCTCGTAAATTAAACCAGTTAGAAAAGCTTTACACAGTAACCACCCTGTCAAACCGCCCTTTATCTTATATTGCAAGGGAAAGCATACAGGTAATATAAATCATAAACAGTAGGACTGTACTGTAGGGTACTGTATACTGCAACAGATCTTAGTAACAGAGAAAACAAAAGTCTACAGCCAAACTGGCAGCTCTTTGAGAGTGGGACTTTCAGCTAAATGTTAGCATGCTAACATGCTAATAACATGCCACCAGTCCATTAGTATTACAAATTAGCATATTTAATTTGATAGTTAGCATTAAACACAAATTGCAGCTGAAGTAGTGGGAATATTATTGTCTTTTCAACTAAAAAAATATTAACCTAGTAACAGCTCTACATGAATGTAGCAAACATGAATGGCTGTATCAAATATTTCACTCTGAACCTAAAGGTCTAGTGTGCAGGATTTAGGGGGATGTGTTGGAAGAGATGGAAAATACCATGTTAAATATGTTTTCTTTAGTGTGCGATTACCTGAAAATAAGACTCGGCATGTTTTCCTTACCTTGTAGAGCTGTTTATATTTACATAGGGAGCAGGTCCTCACCCACGGAGTCCACCGTGTCACACCGCCATGTTTCTACAGTAGCCCAGAATGGACAAACCAAACACTGACTCTAGATAGGGGCATTCTGCAGGATGAGCAGTGTCGGAAAAACAGATTTTTATTTCACATGAAACTCCTGTATTCAGTGTTTTTACCAGTTTAAATCACCTGGGTGTATTCTCATAAGCAGGTTTGGTGAAAACTCTACCCTGAGATGAGGGAAACCCTGGGTCTTCTGTTCCAGAAAGAGAGGTTACTTCAACTTTGTGTTTGCTACTGTGCTAACTGAACCTAATCTGCTCACTGGCAGGTTTTCTTCAGCAAACCCTTTTTTTCTGTCTGTCCCTTCACTCTTACATCGGCAGACTCACTGTTTTATTTCCTCATTGATTCAGTCCATATCAAAGCGTGCTTCAAATCACATTAGCTGGCATGTGTGTCAGAATCTAAATCTTGGTTGGATATTAGTTTGTTATCCAGGATTATCTAGGTTCTGCCCACACATTAAAATATCACAGCATCAAGCAAGTCCCCCTCAGCTCAGAATCAAACCTCTGCATGTCCTTTTTTTTATAACACTGCAGACAGCTGTCAGTCTGGTATAGCAGTTCCACCAAGAAGTTTATCCCACGTCATGTGTCATCTTGGTTTAAAAATCAGTATGAAGCTTTAGACTCATCAGCTCACTGAGTAATTATCTCTATCACTAATGATATGATTTGATCTTATATGTTAATATTTCTGAGTAAGCAGGATCGTGGTGCAGCGGCAGTGAGTTTTTTTAAATAGATGCATTAAGTCTGAATATGTTTTAACAGTATTTCAGTTTAAATTTACTATATTTGTTGAAGTAGCTGAAATAAAGCCACTGAATGCTGTTCTGTAGTGTATTACTCTATTCAAGTGCCAAGCACCAACAACCACATTATTACTGGATCCACCCCAGGGGTGCACACTAAGCCCAAATGTCCTTAAATCCTAGAAACACCTGTGCGTACACCTGACCTGTGTGGGGCTGCTCCCAGGCAAAGACATCTGAGTATTCCTGCACTACAGGAAAGGTATGGGGATAACCAAAGTCAGTGAGATTCACCCTCTGAGGACCATGAATATCTTCACAAAATGCCATGAAAACACATCCAATAGTTACTGAGATATCTCATTCTGAATCAAAAAGGTGGATTTACTCACACTGCCATCCCTACAGTCGCCCCACTAACATGGAAAAAAATATAATTATTATTCTGTGAAAGATTCCATTTACCAAAACCATTTTCAGAGCCGTTTTTCTCAGCTGAAATGTCAAATAAAAACTTTTCTCAGTTCAACTTGCTGAGATGAGATCACTGTGACCTCTCACACTGAGCTGCAGTCTGTGTGTAAAGTACTTTGATCCTTGACTACAGAGAGGAACACAGTGAACTAACCTCTTGGAGAGATGAAATTTGATACAGCTCAGTTTTCTTGATGCACATTCAATACTTATTTGTTCTTGAGGTGACAGGATCCGGAAACTCTGAGGCTGTCACCCTGAACTAAATCACTCAGTACAATGTCACCTATTCTTTCTAAGTTTCATGGAGGAACTATTTTCTTTCCACCAAACTACACCTGGTATAAAAGTTATGCAAGACAAGTGACTGCATATAAAACTATATTTATTGACTCATTTAAAAGACTGTACATCAAGATGCATGAAGCAAACGAAGGACGCTGAAGCTGTCAGTAAATCAGGTGTAAACAAAGGCAGTGAGTGGGAACAGAGTGATGAGATTCTTAAGCTCTGATGGTGTGCAGTAGCCTCAGAAAAGGATTGTGTAAATGGATGGAACAGTTGGGCCTCATAAGTCCCTAACTAACGTCATAAATACTAATGACTACAGTCTCTTCAGTGAGAGGAAAAGCAATAAACACATTCACAGAGGAAGCAAAACAGTTTAACGGCATCCTGGAGACTTACTGTCCTGTTCCATAATGGTGCCTCATGCAATTATAAACCCTGAGACACAAGCATGTAATGACAACCTGGGATAACCGTTATTTCACTGGCACCGATTGGAAGCACTAGTATGCAGTAAAAATATAACCAATCAATAAAAAAAGATGGACAACCAAGACGGATTAGGAAAGGTCCACTTTGGCTTAGAATATTGACATGAGAACAATTTGAGACGCATCTAAAAATCTTATATACATACAAAACAATAAGCCATGACTTTCTGTTAAAGCCAGCAAAAGATGTTGCATAGTCTCTCTGTGAGGTAAGAGCCTTTCAAACATCTGACTGAGTCATTTCAAAGCTTCTACCACTATAAGAGGTAACAGGAAGGATGGCAGAAAGCACAGAGGAAGCAACAGTCCCTGCTGTTAATCCAATAAGACGACTGTATTCTGTGCTGTCTTCTTCCTGTGAAACCACAGCAAGCTGGCGGGTTGCTCTGTGGGGACCTGGATGAAGACCTCTCCTCTGGTTCACCAGATAATAAGAAGTTAATTCCAGTCAGCTAAAGTCAAGACTTGCATAGGTAGTTAGCCAGGAAATATTTAACACCCCCCACCCCCAAGCCACAAATACAAGAAATCCTCCTACACCAGCTTGTAAAGTAAGCGAGTACTGCAGCAGGTGAGGTGGATGTAGACTCCTGAGTGGCTTTCTTCAAGGAACACATTTTGGTGCCATCATCTAATACTGCTCCCAATGTTCACAACTGCTACACAAGGCATGGCTAAAGCGTCAGCCACCCGTGATTATCACTGCCTGACAATATGATGACTGGTGAAACCATCAGATTTCTGACAGAGTGATACAAAAGGAGTCTGCTGAGCTCTCGATAGCCAGGATGAAGGTGTCCTCGTTGGAGTAGTGCTGGACGATGGTGTCATCCATGTTCACCAGGACTCTGAGGAAGATGGAACACATGAACAAACAAGAGTGTCCTGGTTACTTTAGGGCAAAATCTTCTTCTCTACAGCTTCCTTGAGTTGATCTGCATGTTATTTTAGCCAGCGTGGATATGTGACTGTGGAGTATTGTTCTTTTTTTTTTCATGCAAATTTCATGACATAGGTAAGTCCCAACTGGTCGACTATGTCAGCACTGGCCTTGCAAGGTTCAGGGCTGATTTAAAGGGACCGTTCATATCTATTTAAGTGAGGTTGTGTGGGGTACTTATACACAGTCAGTCTATTATATAAAGTAGATTTTGGTCTACACGCCCCCACTTTAGAAAAGCAGGCCATAGTGCCAACACAGAAGCTAAGCAATGTACTGCTGTGGAGGGGTCAGCAACAAAACTTATTTTCCCATCTTAAGAAATTGCTCTCATTTTAAGTCTATACTATATTTAGAATATGTTTACCACTTTACCATACTGTCATTGATTTCCAAAAGGGAACTGAAGCTGTTAATCAGTGTCTTCAAAGCCAGACTCCAGTGGACACAGGGGCTGCTGGTCTACCACTGCCTCAATCAGTTTGTGTTATTGTGTGGCTTTGGCTTTTAACAGGGTTAGTTCAGATTCACCAAAGTCACACAATAACAGAAATGTACAGATCGAGGCAGTTTAAATTACTATTTTTTTCCTCAATGAAGTCTTGTTGCCTTGACAACAGCATTGATGGGGCACTGAAGCCATAAACGGCTTGTCGCTAAGGGCTGTCTGTAGCAAGGTAAAGCATGAAAGTATTATATAGCGTACACTTAAACTATCCCTTTAAAATAGTAGATGGCCGTTGAGCCATATTTAACTCATGACATGCCAATTTTTATAAATTTGGTAAAAAAAAAAAAAAAAAGTCAATATTAATCGGCATTGATGTGTTTCATCACAGTCATATCATTTAGTTTACAGTTCATAAAAGAGTGCAGTACCTCTTTAATGGATTTCCATGAAATGTTTTTACACACATTCATGGTCCCCAGATGATAAATCCTACAGACTGTGATGGTCCCCTGCCACTGTGAGGTTGTTGTTTTTTGCTTTATAGTTAAACATCTCAACAAGTATTTGATGGATCTTTATTAGATTTGGTACTAGCTTTGATGATCGCCTCACTTTCCCCTCTTGTGACTTCGTGAGGTTGACATATTTTGTTTTGGGGGAAATGTCTTAACAACTGTTGGATGGCTTGCAATGAACTTCATTCACTTACTTACTAAAATAGATAATACCTTCCATCTACTATGGTTTTTGACCAAATACCTGCAAAGCTAATGACACTCCCATCAGCCTTAGCTGCACTTGGTGTTTAGTGCTAATTAGCAAATGTTAGCATGCTAACACATGAAGCTAAGATTGTGACCATGGTAAACATTAAATCTGCTAAACGTGAATGTTAGCATTTAGCTAAAAGCACCACAGTGCTTCTGTGTGCAGCATCACAGAGGCAGAATCCTCCAACTCACTCACCCTTTTTTGCTTTTTTGGTAAACTTTGGCCATCTTGTCAACAGGCACTGCGTATTTCTCTGAGATCTGTGAAGAAACGGCAAATTTTCAACATGTTGAAGCACCATGAGGCCATACCTTCTCAAAACACTGTTAAAAAAGAATTAATGATCTGGGACTGACTGATCCTGTTTAGCACAATGGATGTAACATGTCATATTGTTTTGGCCTGAAGCAGCTATACATCTTTAATACTCACTGCCTCCATCAGTGCTTTAAGGGTTGGGGTACGAAGCATTAAGGCATCAAACACTTCATCACACTCCTTCCTCACATAGAGCAGAACTGGTAAGGCATAGAATAGACAAGGCATAAAAATGCATTCATTCAGTCAAATAATAAGACATGGCACCAAAACTAATGAGAGAAAAGTAACATTTACAAACCTTTCCTTTCCAGTTCTACTTTGGACTTCTTGGACTGAGGTGAACAGACATCATCCTCAGCAACACATGACTTCCTTTTAACCAGAACACTCCTAAGACACACACACACACACACACACCATTATAATTTAAAGGGTATATTGCAGAATTCCTGTATTGAGTTTCTCATTTCTCAAAACAACAGCAAAGCCTGTGGAGATAGCAGTATGATACTCACCCATCTCTGACGATCTCTTCAGTGTTGAAAGCAAACACCTGCAAATGGAGTAAAAAGGCAACATGAGGCACACTGTACAACTGGACAATGACTGAACTGGACATTTCTTATGTGTGTGTGTTAATGAGAGACAATGAGACAGGGAGGGGTCCTTCACCTGGCCGGCTCTCTGCAGGTTTCCAAAGTGGACGTCAGGAATGAAGAGTACAGGCTGGGAGTCCAGGTCTAGCGTGGTTCTGAACAGTGTGTTGTCTGCCCTCTTTAAGGGAGGAGAGGTTGGCCCTGAGCTGCCATTTTTCCCTAAACCAGAGAGAGGGTGAACTCAGCATCTGTTGCCAGGCAACCATTCCAAGTACAGATTTGATATGGTTTGATTACATTTCCCTGGCTTTGTAGTCTTCTGCCGAGCACTTCTATTTAATTTTATGATTTCCTGGACAGTGCTTTGTAACCTTGTTTCAGAGGATTTTAAATCGAGCTCAATAACATTATTTCTGTGCATCAGTATTTCATTACTTATCCAAACTGAAGAAGAAGAAAAAATGTTTTTACCTTTCATCCTCTTCCTGAGCTGTTTCTTCTCCTCATCACGAAGCTTCCTCTCAGCACCCTGCAAAACATTTAAGTGTATGACAGGAATGAAAGGCAGAATATGCTCAAAGACAGTGAAGTAAAGCAAAGAAAAATCTTCCATCCAAGTCTAAATGATCTGCTCATTGTTGTGACCAAATCAGGCAACTGACTGTGCCAGCAGGCTGTCCTCACCTTGTCGCAGAAGACCTTAATCTGAGAGAAGGCCCTGTGGATCGGCCTGCTCCTGCAGCTATTGTAATTGTAGGTGTCGATCTGGATTATTAGAGGCATCCCCTTTACGCCCTTCTGTGAGGAGAAGTCTGTGCTCAGACAGTTCACTGAGATAAAGACCTAGGAAACAAAAATAAGACAGAAGACAGGGTTCATTTCTAGAATTTTGTGACCTAAAACTAGCAGTGGGAGGGCTAATTATCAAAAAGTCGTCATGCATTGGTGATTCCTGATCAAGGTGTACCTCTGCAGTTGCCAGAGGGAACATGGGAAGGTTATTAGCTCAACTAATATGAAAAACATGCAAATTATGATTGATAAAAAATATCATGTATCCTCATATTGACTCAGCTGAATGGGAGTGTATGAAAACTAATTAGCGAGCAAGGAGGGAAGTCTAAAGCTGGCGAAAAGCAGTGGATAAATAGTTGAAATAGTCAGTAAACCCCCAAATGAGTATTAATTACTTGCCCTGCGTCACGTTGAACTCATGAAAAAAACTTTGTTTTTCTTGCATGCCTCCAGTAAATGAAGAATCCAAGAACAGAGAAAATTCTTGATAAATTGAAGCCATAGGGGTCTGTGTTTCACACAACTCACGCAGTATAATCCAACACTCATTTATCCAGTCGTATCCTCAGTGCTTCCCAAAACACAGGCCTTTCTGATGGGGAACTGGTCTAAAAGGTTAAGTTATCTATGATCTCGTCAAAGCCAAACTCCACTGCAAAAAAACAGTAATTTTACCTTGCTGAACACAGGAGCTTCTGGTGAATCTGTCAGTTACCAATCAATCAGTAAGTTTGCTTGTGATATTGTGTGACTTTGATAAATCCAAATCTTCAGATCTTCCTAAATAAAACACCAAAGTCACACAATAACACACACTTACTGACCGAGGCAGTGGTAGACCTGCAGCTTCCATGTTCAGCGAGGTAAAATTACTGTTTTTTTTCCAATGGAGTGTGGCTTTGAAAAGAGCATAAATAAGTTTCACTTTCAGTTAAGTTCCCTGCTGGGATGGACTGTCAGTTACTGGAATTACTGGGAAGTAATTAGCATACTGAATAAATGAGACTCAGATTATACTGCACGATTTGTATGAGAGTTTGTAAACAGATGTTTTGACATAGTTTTGCTTTTGTTTAACGTGGTCCCCTCTTTTTCAACTCATCAAGAATTTTCTCCACCACTGGATTCTTAGCTCACTGGAGGCATGTGAGAAAAACTTTTTCATCACAATTCAACGCAACACCTGCTGAGTTACTAATATACAAATGGTCATATTTAGTAGTTATTTTTTTTAAGCTAAAAGTATTAACAGCTGAACTGTCCAGAACCTGCCATTTCAAGTGGCAGTGGTAAAGAACCTTGGCCAAACCAAGCTTAACGCTGACAGTTCAATTGTATGAAATCATTTTTGAAAAAATATCAACTTTGTATATGATTAATAGAGTTTAACAACGTCAAGTTTAAAATACATTCATTTTTGTTGTTGTTTTTTTGTTTTTCTATCATTGTGTACATGTTTGGTGGTTCTTAGTGTTTTTGTTTTAACAGTGGGTCTATGTATTGCTTTGGTTTTCAGTATTGAAACAATAAAAAAACACTGAGGGAAAAAAAATACATTCAGATGAACATATTTGCAACATGTCGGGTGATGTCACGGTACCTGAGATACAGCTGTGGGGGTCAGAGCAGTCATACATCAGGTTTTGAATATGAATATTAACATTCCTATACAATAATGGTTTTTAAATCCAATTTCCAGGTTTTTAAAAGAAGTGAAACTACACAGATCACTCAAAGTTGACAATGATGGTGAAAAAAAAATCCTCCAGTCTTATCCTTTCTACACACTTAAGTCATCAGTAGTTGTGAATTATTTTTTGTAGATGGATGGTTCATATGCAAAGAATCCAGGAAATGCATCATTCTAAATTCACTTTAGGTACATTCATTCATTTTCTGTAACCAGCTGACATTGGGTGAAAGGCGGGGTACACACTGGGTGGATCACCAGACAATCACAGGGCTGACACATAGAGACAGACAACCATTCTCACTCTCATTCACACCTACAGGAAATTTAGAGTCACCAGTTGACCTGCATGTGACTTTGGACTGTGGGAGGAAGCTGGGGTACCTGGAGAAAACCCACGCTGAGATGCGGAGAGCATGCAAACTCCACATAGAAAGGGCTCTCCCACCCCAGGGTTTGAACCAGAAACCCTCTCGTTGTGAGGTGACAAAGCTGACCACTGTACCATTGTAAAACAATAACTCATTACTTGATATGATGACAATAAGGTACTATTTCATTTTGCCCAGGGAAACCCACTCGCCTGTCAGTTTTATAGCCAGTGCGGCTCAGACGAGGAATCAGATCTGATGAGGATCTTTGTTCCCTAGTGAATCTTAACTTGACTCATATACAATGCAGTGATGAGTGAGAGGGCCACAGGGTCATGAGTCACAACAGCAGCTGTTCACAAGCTTGAAGCAACACTCAGCCATGCAAATGTGTGCCACCTCCTCTCAGCGCTCCTTATGTTAAATGTTTTATATGCTCACAAATAAGCTTCCAATCTGTGAGAACATACTTGTGAATTATACAGATTGATTATATTGATGCTGAATTACCAGTGGTTTATTGTTGTTCCAGACCTCTCTGTACCACAGCTTTTAGAAATGCGAGGCTTGGCTCCAAAATCCCTCTCCTACCGGTGCTAAATAATGTAGCAGACAGAGCTGCTGATCTGATGAATCTTTTAAAAGCTTATGAGAGAAAAACAGAATTCATAAAATCTCACCCAGATTGCAGTATAGTGCTAAACCATGAAATGCACACTGTAAACAGTACTACTTGGGGTTATCTTCAAACATTTAGCAACATGACGGAACAGGATTCCCTGATTAATGGTAATGCCAAATCATCTAAACCAACGTAAACTCCTGATGAATTTTCCAGTTAAACAGGTCCAACAGCCTGAGCAACAGGTCGGCTGAGACGGATAACGGTAGAGATTCCTCACCGCGGCTCAAAAGCAATTTTCCCACTACGCAGCGTCAACAGCATCATGCCTGAACCTGCAGAGGTGAGGGCTGATTGCTGGAAAGGCCTGGAGCACAAATGAGCCTCCTACACACCTCCACAAATTCACACCTCCACAGACCCAAGCCATTCTCTATAAGCACTGGACGTGTTGCTGCTAGCATCTGTGTGTGTGCATGTGTGCTTGTGTAGGAGGCTTGTTGTGTTTGCACGTACTGCATGTGTGAGCTTTCAAATACCTTCCTAAAAAGAGAAAAGTTCAAGAGGGCACTGCTAAGTGGCTGTTCAGTGCCATCCGCTCAACCAGGCACAAACAAACAAACAAAAAAACAAAGTCATGCTGCAGGAAGCAGCTCATCTCCCCGACCAACACATTTCACACTCCATTACAATGAGGATGATGATTGTTGCTTGGCAACAGCAGAGCCATGCCAAAACAAAAAGCAAAACTGATCATTTGCACCAAAAAATACCAATTTTATATGTCAGCCCATCACAGCCTGACTGGACTTCCAATTATGTTTGGAAACCAAAATTTCTCGCTGGCACAACACAGAGAGGAAGAGACGGGAGAGCAGTGATATGTTAGCCCACATACTTTCTCACAATAACAGGGGAGGTCTCTCTCATCTTCTTTCTCCTCATGTCCCTGCAGCCCAATCGCCAGAATAAAAATTGGCATTGTACGCTTCTGCAAACCACAAATATGTAACATTTGTTTGTTTCATATGTAGCAGGTATGTTGAAACTTGGCATTCTTCAGATTTCAACAATGCTTTGTTAATACTACATTATGTTTAGGCACAAAAACCATTTGGTTATGGTCAGGAAAAGACCATGTTTTGGCTTGAATTACCTGGATTTGTAGAAACAAACACTACTGGAAATGCCCTGATGTCTGCCTAAAATAGACCCAGTTTTGGTGCCACAATTGCGGCTGGAAATACTGCTGATATCTGACAAAAAAAACACCCAGTTTTGGTGGCACAATCAAGGCTAGAAATGCTGCGATGTCTCACTAAAAAAACATGCTTTTGGTGCCACAATCGCAGAGAGAAATGTGGTGATGTCTTGCTAAAAACACCTAGTTATGTTTATGTTAGTTGGTCTCCACACTGGTCAGCAGCTTGGCAGCTGTCTCGCCTAAGTGTCACACCATTCATCATCTGCTCCATCTCCCAATGATAATACACATGAATCTGAGCTACATAACTGCAGAAATGTTGATATGTTATGTATGAAATGCACAAATGCTATAAATCTGTAGTTTGCAGAAATGTACTATTTTCTTCTGGCAACTGAGCTGTATTTCAAACAACTTTTCACATGTCTATAACAAGACTAAGGACTGTATGAAAATAATTTGGGAGGAGGGCATTTAGGAGAGTGGAATATGTACTTGATTTCAGCCCCTCTGCAAGATTAATTGGAAAAACAAAAACGGATAAAATGGTAACAAATGATGACTTTAATCAATCAGTCATAAAGGTGTGTTTTGCCATATGCACCACACAACATTACTATCTCTGTATCAGAGCTTCATTTCCTCCCCCATCACAATCAGAAGCAGCACCAATATGTCAGTTGGAGGCTGACATGTTGGTCTTAAATTTTGTACAGTCCCTTAGAGTCAACAGCCACGCTAGTGCCTCTGTGAGGCTTAAATTAGGCACTGTAGTGTTTTGGGTGAAATGCTAAGGTTGGCACGACAACATGATCACAGTGACAATGTTTACCATTTTCGTTTACCATGTTGGCATGCACACATTTGCTCAAGAGCACTAAAAACAAATTACAGGTAGGGGTGACGTAATGTCATTAGTTTTGCAGACATTCAGTCATAAACAAAAGTATTGAACAAAATTAAATTCTGACCTGATGATTAGGGATAGGAATTGATAAGATTTATTGATACCAATGCCATCATTGATTCTGCTCAAGGTCCAGTTCTTTATTGATTTTTTTTTATTGATTTCTGATCACTTGTCTGTGTTTAAAAAGTAGGATTACACAGGTGTGAACTGTCAACTGTCATCATCTAAAATTGATTAAATGACAGTATTAATTGTCATGTAGGTTGTCTTATAGTAATCTACTAAGCCTGCCTGTGTGGTGCTCATGTTATTATAACCTAGGACATTCACCTCAGTGTTAGACATGCTGCTCAGGCTGGGAAGCAGTGACGTCATGCGTAGGTTGTCAAATACACAGCACTCCTGGATTTAAACTCCTGTGGCGTGCACAGATATTACAGCATATTGCTGGTCTTTCCACCCTTACTCAAAATGATCATTTTAAAGACACTTTTGTCGTCTTTTACTTTTAAAATGAAGCACAACTTTGAACCGTTTGCTCCTCTCTGCCATGACTGTTTCTTGTTGTGGGTTTCCAGCAGTGTAGACTGGAAAAACATGCCGGCACTAATAAAAGGAATTGATACACTCAGAGGCATATGACTGTAATGGATCGGACAATTTGGAACCACTTCTTGATTCCCATCCCTATTGATGATGGCACTAGATGACCTGTCTCCAAAGTTATTTCATCCCGAGGGGAACACAAATGTCTGTATCAAATTTTATGGTAAACCATCCAATACTTGTCAAGACATCTCACTAAACCAAATTATGTTCACCGTCACATGATGAAAAGTAATAAAAAGAACAATAAAAAGATGCGGGTGTTTACCAGCCAGAGGGGGTCTATCGAAAAAATGCAGTCAGCTTGCACTATGTGTAGTGTAGGATCAAATGTTGTGGGGCTTGAACCCATACTAGGAACTAGAAGTCAGGACGCCTCCACCTTAATGAGTATTACTTAAAGATGAAACAGAGCAATCTGTATCAATTAGTGTAAAGCTGGAATATGTGCGTGAACATGTGCGTACATTTTCTTTAACTGCCGATGATGATAGCTGAAGGGATGTCTGAAATGTAGTTGCTTTCCATCTAAACATGGTCTGCACCACATTCTCAAAATACTGCTACATTATTGCGGTCAGGTGTACAACGGGAAAAAGCCGATACTGAGTGAACTGTATCATCTGAACACACTGAAAACAATTATAGTGGAATGAAGGTCTATGCCAAACAGTAAATATTTATCCACAAACCCACAAAGCTGCAATTACCTTTCTTACAATGAGGCTGTTTGTGGAGTCCTCATTATGTTTGAGCTGAATGGGAGCCACAGCCACAGTCTCCTGAGCCCAAAACACCCTGAGGGGGGGCTGATGCTGTGTGTGTGGGTGTGTATATGTGTACATGTTGTATGCCAATTGTCTTTATCCAAGTGACCACTTTTACAGAGGTGAAATCTGAGTAGCTCTTTTCAGGGTCTATAGCAGCATGTCTGTGATTCAACATAATGACCCGACAGAGACCAAGAGGGGCGTCCTGTGTCATGGAGGACAAAGGGGTTGGGGGTGGACGGAGGGGCCTGGTATATGCTCCACTTACTATTCTGTGGTTTCATGAAACAACATTTTCCACAAGTGGCTATGAGAAACACAAGGAAAATATGACAAAACCAGTTTTTTACTTTCTGTGTGTGTGTGTGTGTGTGTGTGTGTGTGTGTGTGTGTGTGTGTGTGTGAAAGTTAAGGTAAGAAAATAAATACCCATTCACTTGTAGATCATTATTTTTTTTGCTTTGACTTTAACAGCATGTTCCCCCTGTGTTTCTGTTGCTTTCTTACCTTAGCTACTTCACTGACATCCCATGTGAAAGAGACAGCATTGTAGGCGATTTCCTCCACGTTCCCGATCGTGCTGAAGCTCTCCTTGTAGTCAGCTGCATGCAAAGTGAAGAGAAAACTGTTTCAGTGGGTGTTATATCCTCGAGTTTGGTGTCAGCTCTAATTTTAACATTTCACAGCTCTCTCAAAATTGTGGAATAAACAACAAAATTATTTTATCAGTATAAAAATTTTGCATTACGAGTAAAGGCCCTGCATTTAAAATCCAAAAAAATGTAACCAAGTATCAAAGGTCCGGCAGAAAAATAGCCACTGTGACTGATATATTGACACACGTATTCATTAATAGATTGTACATTCTGCTGCCTCAGTGTTTAAGCAGCATTTTGCTGTTGTAGCTGGGCAAAGTGGAACTAGTTAAAGGAATACTTCACCCCCCAAATGACCCTTAATTATGTCAAATTTGTCTAATAACCTTTTTTGCATGTTTCTGTTGATCAAAGGATCAAAAAACTGTGAAAAATGTTGATGAATTGAAGTCATAGGGGTCTATGTTTAACACAGCAGAACTACATCAATACATCTGTTAACAAACTTCCACATCTCGTGGAGTATAATCCAAGTTTTATTTATCTAGTCATATACTCAACACTCCCCAAAAACATACATTTTTGCTTAAAACTTTTCTAATGAAAACTTAACTGAAAGTGAAACTTATCCATGCTCTCTTCAGAGCCAGACTTCATTGACAAAAATGGTAATTTTACCCACCCTGAACATGGGGACTTCTGCTCTACAGCTGCTTAAAACAAATACTTAAAAATAAATGAAATACAAATAACAGGATTAATAAGGATTCATCAAAGTTACACAATAACCCCACAAAACAACCGATCCAGGCAGAGGTAGACCAGCAGCTCCTGTGTTCAGCAAGGTAAAATTAGTGATTTTGTCAATGGAGTTTGGCTTGCAAGGTTAGAAGAGTCTTACTTTGAGTTCAGTTCCCTGTCAGGAAGGGCTGTCTGTTTGGGAAGTACTGAGCATATGACTGGATAAATGAGACTTGGATTATACTGCTCGAGTTATGTGAAAGATTGTAAACAAATGTTTTGATAGAATTTTGCTATTGTTAAATGCAGAACCCTATGACTTAAATGAATTAAGAATTTTCTCCCGTTCACATTTTTGGATTCTTTGCTCACTGGAAGTATGCAAGAAAATGTGAGAGTTTCTTTTCAAGAATAACACAACACTGACTGACATACAGTAATTTGGGGGTTGAAGTATTGCCTCAGACTACTTAGTATTCTGTACTTTTCTGTAGTTTGGAGCAGTCATTCCAATCCTGGAGGTCAGACCCCTCCCAAGGGTCACAAGACATATCTGAGGGGTTTTGAGACGTTTATGGGGTTGAAAAGACACCTTTACCTCTGTGGACACTTTATTTGAATGATACAAAAAATGGTGGAACTGCTTTGATGATTAGGGGTCACAAAAAATGTTGTTAATTTCTGATTCATCTGTTTGCACTCATTTTGCAGTTCATCTTAAATACAGTACCTATACCTATAGATATCTATATCTACTATATTTTCATCCATGAAACAATTTTCCCAGCAAATCAAGTTCCAGATTAGGAAAAATTCCGATAAGGCTACTGTTACCTCCTTAAACACACAGTCTCTCATCACATGGGCTTATTATCACCTGCCTACTTTAGGTTAAAGATTTTACCAGGGTACTGGCATGAACTTGCCACAAACAAAACCACCACAGTGTCTGACATCTCTGCCTCATTCCATTCAACCACAGGTTGAGGCCTGCCTCTTGCTGATCGTACAGGATATGGCTTCAGTCCAGGCCCCCACCTATTTCTCCTGTTAACGCTTATGCAAATGCAATCCCATTGGCTGCCTATTCCCAGTGCTCTTGTGGGAATCAAGGATTGACAGTTATTCAAATTGTGTCCTGGAAGCTCCTACAGGTTTGCCACCTGCTTTGAGCTTAGGTGTTTAAATAACTAAGTGTGATATTCAATACCAAAGTTTGTGTGCCATTTTTGTATTTGGGCCTATTCTCCATCTGTTCTACTTACAACCCCATGAAGCCATGCCATGAATGTTGGTAATCATCTTACCAATGTCCAGGACTCTCTGTTTAGCAGTGTGCTGCCGGGAGTGCCAGTATTTCCAATTCTTTAGCTGCTCATCTCTGCACTTGTCTTCCCCAAAGACAACCATGATAACACTCTGAGGTCGAAGCAAAGATATTCGGGACATATTACAGTATATTCAGGCTGAAACAGAATAAAATGAATTTTAAAAAAAAATTCAAGTTTAACAAGATTTCATGCCACCAAACTAAAGGTAAATGTAAAATCCTCAACCTCTACGCTTCCAGCCCATGAACTATCTCACCTCCCTTACCTGCACAATAGTGTCCCGCTGCAGCTCAGAGCCTTCCATGGTGCATTGTTCATTACTGGATGGGCCCCCATCAGGTCCGTGTGATGCTGTCTGCCCACTCACCGGCACTTTGCCTCTGGGCTGACATAGGGACGAACCGAAGCTAGCCTTCGACAATGTCAGAGCATAGAACTGGCCCCGGTTCAGGTAAGCCATGGGTCCTTCTCCTTGTCGAGGCCGCAGAGACATGCTGGCCTCCAGACGGTACTGGAAGCTGTGACTGGAAGAATATAAGCATGAGTAGGGCAAACTTCATGACGATACAGTTTCCTCCTATGGGTTTAAGAATATCTTATTTTATGATATGCACAGATACGAATTTAAGAACTAAGAAAAGAAGGCTGTTGCAGCAAGACGCAATTCTTGTGGCACTCTTAAGGGATAGCTCAGATTATTCAAAGTTGGGTTGTATGGGGCACTAATCCATAGAGAGTATATTACAAACAGTAGATGACAGTTGACACACTGCCCGTTTGGAGAAGCAGGCTGGAGTCCAACATGGAAGCTAAGCAATCTAATGCTATGGAGGGGTCAGCAACAAAACATATTTTAGCCACTTAAAAGAAGTCCCACCAAAAAGCAACCATATCAAATTACATGTATGCTATATTAAGAGTATTTTCACTGGTCAATCTGAATGTCAGACAGTGATTTCCAACAGGGAAATGAATCCATTACAGTGCTCTCTTCAAAGCCAGACTCCATAGGGAAAAAAACAGTGATTTAAAATTGCTGAACACAGGAGCTGCTGGTCTACCGCTGCATTGAACAGTTATTTTGTTTGTGTTATTGTGTGTCTTTGGCGTTTAAAAGGGTTAGTTCTGATTCACCAGTGTCACACAATAACACACACTCACAAACTGATTGAAGCGGCAGTAGACAAACAGCTGCCATGTTCAGTGAGGTAAAATTACTGTTTTTCTCAACGGAGTCTGGTGGCTTTAGATGGGGAACTGAAGCTGTCAACGGCTTCCCTGTTGAAAGGGTAGGTAAAGCAGAGAAAATACTCTCAATATATCATACACTTAAACTGATGTTAATCATTTTTGGTGGGTCTTTCCTTAGGTGGCTAAAATGCATTTTGTTGCTGACCCCTGAATTGCAGTGCATTGCCTAGCTTCTGTCTTGGTACTCCAGCCTGCTTCTCAACCTCACTTCAAAAGTCCGAACTGTCCTTTAAAGGCTATAAACAGACTGATCTTTTAATTTATCAAAGATACTCCCACATGCAACAACACAGCTTTAAATAATAAGTCTGGTGGCATTTTTCATGTTCTGTGTGTATTCGAGCCTGATGAATCTTACCCCATTAGAGCTACATTGCTGTCCACAAACTATTAAAACCACATCAGTGCAGTGGTTGGTATGTTTCTTCATTACCATAAACACACACACTGGAGTTCACTTTGACTGAATCCCCCCCCCCACACACACACACACACACACACACACACACACACACTGTCTTGCTGCAATATAGTAACTTCTCACTAGATTAAATGTGTATTAATCCATGACAAATATTCCCCAGCAAACACTATTTACTATGAGCAACTTTTGCTAAAAAAAAAACTGCAGAGCCCAGCTGGGTCCTTTTTTGAATGAATCTTATATATAATCGTGACTCAGGTAAAGAAAGTTTTTGTTAATCTCAAGTGGGAATAACTGGGCTTGGGAGCCACAGAAATGCTAGGGAAGTCATAAAGTAATGAGAGACAGACTTGGTTTTGGTCTTTACTTGTGATTTATCAACACTAACAAAAGTAGCTATAGATTATTGGAAGCCTTATCCTTTGCACCTGATAAACACTTGTATCAAAACATACTGTGCACTTGAAAAATCTAATCTGTATGTTTAATGTTGTCACATATCTGTAAATTTTAACTTACAGTGGCAGGCTGTGGTGAAATTCATCAATTCCTGAGGAGGGACTTCTGTGGTACATCTGTTAGAGAGATAATACTGTGAGTTTCAGAGGAAAAAATGCACGAAACTGCCACTAACAGAGCAAAACAATCCAACAGATGTGAACCTGGTTCACAAAGCAAGGTAGCGACCACCTCCACCTCACCCCCCTTGTAAAACAAGCCTCACCTCTCCTTCCACAGTGTCCTCATATGTGCTGTCTGGAGTGCTTCTCTGTTCCTCTTTCAAATACCCCGCACGGGACAAATCATAGTGGCTCTGCTCATAAACCATCCTTATCTGCTCGCTGGGTTCTTCTCGGTAGGAACCTCCAGAACAGGACACTCCCATGGACGTCTGGCCCTCGGTTTTCACCAGAGCCCGAGTCACCCCACCTCCACCTTTACCATCTCCTCCTCTGGTGTCACCTGTGAGGCAGGTGGCTCCGTATTTGGAGCCTTGATGTTGTGTGGTGGCGCTGTTGTTTAGGGAGAGGTTGACAGGCATGGATCTGAGAGCCTGAAGATGGTGCTCTAGTATCTCCAAGCTCCCGCAGTTTTCAGGCGCAGCAGCAGAGGGGTCTGTGGGTTTAACACCATTGGAGGTGCGTCTCCTCTCTCTGGGGACCTGACAGGGTTTAGCAAAAACAAATAATAAGATCTGAAACAAACCAGAACCATAGAAGGATTACTGAACGGGGCTACCAGGCACAGGCCCAGGTGCCTTAAGTGCCAGCCGCAAAATGTCACTCGAATTAACACCACCTACAAAAGCCCCACTTGACAAAAATTATGTCAAATTACATGTATGCTATATTAAAAGTATTTCCATTGGTTAACCTTCATGTCAGACAGTGATGTCCAATGGGAAGATGAAGACATTATAGTGCTCTCTTCAAAGCCAGACTCCATAGGGAAAACAGTGATATAAAATTGCTCAACACAGTAGCTGCTGGTCTACTGCTGCCTCAAACAGTTGGGGGGGGGGGGGGTCTTTTGCATATCTGTGCCCAGGGGTCCGTTGTCTGATAATCCGCCCCTGATTCATAACATATGTTTAAATCGTCTTGTTGTATCATGACTATTTTGGCTGTAATGTCAGACTTTCCGCACCTTGTAGTAATCGTACAGCAGTCCCAGTGCTGCTGCGCTGTCCTCATCTCCATTGATGCTCATCATGGCCTTAGTGGCAGCAGTCAGTGGGTTCTCCAAGTAACTCCTCCACGCCTCATCCTCGCTGCTGAACACCCTGCGAGAGGGCACCAGCGCTTCATTTGGTACCACCACCAACAGACGTTTACTGAAAGGACATTGGGAAGAAACAAAACGCCATGTTGTTACTGTAAAGTCAATCTGTCATCAACAGCAGCTACATCTGCCAAGCCACCAGCTCTGCCCCAGGCTGTTTCTCACCAAACTTCCATCTAATTGCCTGCTCCATGTGAGGCGTGTTTATCTAAGGTCACTTCTGTATATCACATTTAAATAACAAAAAGATGTAGTGATTCAGCTCTGGAAATGTCAAGAGGATGTGAGAGTTACTTTTAAGTGTGTCGTTTTTGAAACATCATTCAGAGAGGCTGGCAAGAAGGACACACATCACACTGTTTTAATATTCACAGTGAAATGAAATATTTTGCAATAATTATAGCACATATTAAAACAATAACACTTAATTAGAACTCAAATTACAATGAGTTCTCCTTATACACAATCATATTAGTTTTGGTAATTTCTGCAATGTCTGAGAAGCATTTTGAGTGTTTTACCTTTTGCACTACTACTCCATAAAAAGCAACTCTTTATCAAGTAAATGTTAAAAGCATAAACTATATTAGCTGTGGGGGTTTTAAACGAGAACGATTCTGCTGCCTATGTGCAAATAACAAAGAGACAAAAGACATCTAAAATATGTTAAGTAGCCTACTTTTAAAATTGTAGTAAAACTGACAGTTATTAACCGCAGTGCTAATCTCCTACCTGTCCAGGTCCATGTTGCCTCCAGGACTCTCCGGCGTTTTCTAGGACTTGCTTGAGAAACTGGACTTTCTAGTTAGTGCAGGTAACTTTCTGTGGGAGAAAACCAGGCGCACGAGAGGCTGGCTCTATTTAACCTCTCAGTCAAAACAACCAATAAAAAACCTCTGTAACCGTGCGTAGGCCTACTAAAATATACTCTTACGTCTTTAATGTCGGGTATAATTTGAACCAACACTGACTAAATAAAAGAGAGCTACATTTCTAGCATGGGCCAGGTTTGTATCCTGTCTGGAGAAGTTGGTAAATTAAGAGATGGGGACTGTAGCATCTGAAGAGGCAGGATAAACAAGGAAACAAAAGCCGCCTTGCTGATTGGATAGATGTTCCCACAGGTGGCATAGTCGCTTTCCCATTGGTGGACACGGAGGGGAGGGGCGTGACCTAAAAAATGAGGAAAAGGTGGACACGCTAAAGTTAAAGTTCGGTCTGATAGTGGTGTGTTTTTCCTTCACAGCTGTGCTCTGCTGCAAACTGTTCTCTTACGTGAAAGGGGGTAAATACTTTAAGGAGGTAGAAGTGAATGACAACATACTTGCTCAGTTGGGAACGTTTTAAGATATTATGTTAATATAATCAGAGGTAACATGGTGTTTCACTGATAGGAACTCCGCCCCCATAGACCTGTTGATCCTTTTGACCCACTAGATAAGTCTAAATGTATGATTCTACCACTGCGAAAATTAAAAGAATACCCAGTTCAAAAGTTTGTATCATAAGCGAATATTCCAAGCACTTTATGCTGCCTTTATAATAATTGCATTGTACAGATTTTAATTTGCAGTAGGAGGAAAGTATGGGTATTTTTTAATTCTTTTT